GAGCGCCATTGTGGCCACTGTCGACTGAATGACCCACCCTGCACCTTCCCTAAACCCAACCAATAGGGTTTTCAAAAGCACCGATTGACCAGCGTCCACTCACTTACTTCCCTAAACCCAACTGACAGTTTAGTTACTTGTTTATGTTATGTTTTGGCTTCTGTCTTTGCCTTACCCACTTTCTGGAAACATTCTTCACTGGACTCAAACACTTTTCTAAGAATCAAGACTTTGTCCTTTAAAACAACAAGATAAAGCAGAATTGCAAGACATTTGTCCATAATTGTTTATAGCTTAAAAATGCAAGACATAAACATCATAATTCTTTGAAGAAAACCTATAACTGTGAAGGAAGACGTTTAAGTTATCTTGATAAATATCTATTCCATGATGGCAAAACCATAATGACCATTTACACGGTGTGTCTTCAGATGTTTGGATGTCTACAACTGTAGATTAGGAATGACAAGAAAACAGGCTTGACCTGGAAAAACGTATAAAACATTCACAGCTGGGCAGCCAAAAGGCCCAGAGTACTTAGTGTTCCAACAACTTAAGTATGGCTCACGTGGATCCATTTATGTTCTTTGACAGTCGCGAGGCGTATATGGAGAAAGGAAAGGAATAAACACCACCTATTCATTTCACAGTAGGGTTTATTGTTACACACCATTCCTCGTCATTGGTTTCCTTGGTGACCGCGACACACTCATACCCTCCTGGGAGACTTCAAGTTTTTCTTATCAACCTCTTGTCTGAATAGCTCGACCCGCCAATCCACGACAGTTGAAGAGAGGGTGACGAGCACTTTGCAGGTCAAGACCCCTGTTTTGGTGGGTGAAGGACACTTATGTATATACTGTAGCAGTTCTAACTATAAGTAAATAATAATAACAACACAGTTTTGGGCTTTGATATAGAAGCCTGAAAAAAATGCTCATTTTGGAGGAAATTTGGAGGTTTTTGCATCTAAACTCTTCAGTTCAAGTCATAAAATGTAGGCATATAGTTGATTTTCACTTAGCTACTATATCCAAGTAGTCCACTATCAGACAGCAAATATGTGAACACTAGAGAGAAAGGTTACTGCATCTTCAATTGTATTTATACACATCTGAATATCTACAATGGACGATTTGGCTAAACTTTCACACTAAAGACATTAAGCATTAGCCAACACAACATTAAAATGATTCCCATGGTCTAAAAAACAAACCAAAGCATCTTCACTCGATGTTTTCATTTAATTTAAATCTTGACTAGAGTTGCACGATATTGGAACATTGCCATACAATACACATTGCGATATTGAGTATAATTTCACCAGATGATTTAAATGGGAAGGATTTGTCATTTTAAATTGATTGGGATAATATTGTTGGCCGGTACATCTGACTAAAATTTAATAAAATCAATTCACAAACATTGATAAATACAGTAGTGTTATATTACTGTATATTTTTATATAACTGTACAGTAGTAAATCAAATACAGCCCTTTATGGTTTTCTGGGAGTCTAGACATATGCAGGTTCATAAATTGAGCTATCAAATGTGAAATAGCACTGCATAGACTTCATCAAACTTTCTTTAAGTTAAAAACATTAGAAATTGTTGTGCCTGAATGCCTAAAACTGGCTTGGAATGCTTACACTGTCACAGACCTTAAAAATATATGCAAATGATACAATTTTTGTTACATTTTTGGAGTTACTGCAAAGTTTAATGGCAATGGTCTCAAACTCAATTCCTGGAGGGCCCCAGCTCAGCATATGTAATGTAATGTAATGTAATGTGTATTTATATAGCGCATTTATTGTGTATGGCCATACACCCAAAGCGCTTCACAATCATGGGGGGGGGGGGGGGGGGCTCTCCACACCACCACCAGTGTGCAGCATCCACTTGGATGATGCGACGGCAGCCACAGGACAACGGCGCCAGTGCGCTCACCACACACCAGCTATTGGGGGAGTGAAGTGACTGTAATAAAGCCAATTCGGTGGATGGGGATGATTGGGAGGCCATGATTGTAAGGGCCGATAGAGGGACTTTGGCCAGGACACCGGGGTTACACCCCTGCTCTTTTACGAGAAGTGCCATGGGATTTTTAATGACCACAGAGAGTCAGGACCTCGGTTTTACGTCTCATCCGAAAGACGGCACCCACAGACAGTGTAGTGTCCCCTTCACTTTTACTGGGGCATTAGGACTCACGCAGACCACAGGTTGAGCGCCCCCTGCTGGCCTCACTAACACCCCTTCCAACAGCAACCTAGTGTTCCCTAGATGTCTCCCATCCAGGTACTGACCAGGCTCAGCCCTGCTTAGCTTCAGCGAGTAACCGGTCTTGGGCTGCAGGGTGATATGGTTGTGGCATAGCATAGTTTAGCTCCAACCATATCCAACTCATACCTGTTAAATAGTCTCTAGTAGTCTTGAACACCTTGATTAGTTGGATCAGCTGTTTGATTAGGAATAGAGCTTTACAAAATAATATGCAAAAAGTGAGTTTTTTTTAAAGGGCACCTATTTTACCCCTTTTTCAAGGTTTAAGATAAGACTTGTGTCTCTTTTGACTGTAAAGTTAAGTTTCAACTCAAAACACCCATCAGAATATTTATTATACCTCTGCTAAGGCTCTGAACACACAGTTTTTGTAGCCTGTGTCTTTAATGCTAGTTCTCCCCGCTTACCGTTCCCACGTGCCTGTCAGTGTGTGCCTCAATCTTCACCTTGGCTGCGTCAGATAAACAGCACAGTGACAGACATGAAGGAAGCAGATCTCACATAACGTTTGTGAGAAATACTACAGTACGAACTTTCATTATTTGATGTATTTTTTGTGGAGTTAATTCAAGACTTTCTGGAATGATGATGCACACAATGTCGTTACAAAGTTCACGCATACAGACACCGTGCAATTTTTTACTTTGCACTGTTTTTGCATGGCAAATGTGACAGGATACACGTTAATATCCACTGCTGTATGGATATCAGTTTTGTTAATGTACAAAATAAACCTGATTTAACATCCATGGACTGAAGTCTTCTTTTATAATTGTTCCGACATGCAGCTGTGGTGATGGATTACAGTGATTTTACTTTCTTTAACTTAGTTTTTTTATTACAAGCATGCACTGTTTTAAAACTGCTTTAAACTTGTAAAAGTCATATTTGTTCACATTTGTTGAAGATTGAGGATCACAGTGAGCTAAACCGATCTTTTAATCTTAGTTGCTTTGCGCACATCCTGTCTTGTTGATATGATTATACGCATTACTACAGAGACATTTTAATATGCACCTGTTATTTTGGTGGGCGGGGAAACCGCACTCTTACGTCACTTTGCGGTCGGCCTCAAAATCGGAAGGATTTGGATCCAATTTTAACATCAGAAAATTTAAAGAGACTTATTGTGTTTATACCCCTTCAATATGACTGTGGACACTGTACCCACACACAGTTCTGTCCAAACAGCTTACAAAAGATGATTTTCATCATAGGGGTCTTCAAAACAAGCAAAATAATCTGGCAATAATGTAAGCAAATTTATCTCATTTCAAAACAAACAATATAGGCAGATTGTTTTGCTTGTTTAAAAAAAAACACAACACTTAATTTTGGCAAATTACTTCTCAGAACAGTATTTTTTGCTAGTCTAGAAAATGCCTCTTAATTTATTAAATTTATAAATATTTGGACTAGAAACAAGACAAAATTAATTGCACTTTTGATCAATGTATAAACATTAAGTTGCAGCATTTAATTATTAATCGAATGAGGTTAAAAAAAAAGCATTTTATAAATTCATATTCAAGATTTTTAAGTAAATCATTACAATTTTACAGTGAACTTCCTGTTTAACTTCCTGCATTCCCGGAAGTCTAACCTATGATAGCTTTTCTAAAACTTTCCAAAACAATTACATTAGTCAGAATAAAGAGAAATAAAACACTCCACCACTCCTTTAGACATAGAATCATATAAAACTCAAGCAGCGGCATTTTCTGAAGTTGAATGGCAGGGTAATAAAGAACAAAGTAGTGTTATTACAAATAATAATAATAAAAAAACAAAACCTTGTTAGGTTTCTGACGTTAATAACAAGAAATGAGTCATGGCAGTCTATTAAAAGCATCCATTAAGTTCTTAATTTTGTTTGTGCAGTGACAATCCTTAATCAAAAAGGTGTCGATAAAAGAAGAAGTCCACAACCTTTAGATTTTAGCACAACTCTGACACAGCCGGATCAGATACTGTAGAGGATCAATGCTTTATGCTGCAGTGCCTCCAATCAAAGACCTTTCAGATTAGCTGACCTTCAAACCAAGTCTGTTGACATCATAATTGAGCAGCAAAGCTCCAGACTACAATGACGTCTTGTCAACGACTCTACATAATGGATCTTGGCATATGATTGCTGCAGCAAACTCCATTCATTCTTCACGCGATGAAAAGCCTACCACCTATGATTAAGATTTATGCCTTTTAAATGCAAATTAATCCTTCACATATATTTTTTCTGATGGAATAATGCTTTGTTCTCTTGCACTGTACTATAAAAGGTGCTTTAACATCAAATCCATACATATAAGAGAATTACATCAAGAGATGATGATATATGAGAGAATTGCATTATGATGGCAATGACTTTTGTCGAAGCAAGTTTAAAGAGACAAAAAGGTAAAGGGAAGACATAAATGGCATCACTTTTTGTTTTTAATTAAAGCAAAAATGTAAAAATGACCCCATATTTTGAAAAAAAAAAAAAAAAAAAAGATCATTCCAGGCAGATAAACAGCATTTAATGTGTTAGTTATGGTTAGACCTGATGAATCTAACAGTTCAATCTTAATAAGAAATCCCCTGCTGCCCTCTAGTGGCAAGATTGTTATTTTAGTGTGGAATACTTGAGTAAAATAGTTGTTTTTGCATAGGGAGATAGATTTATTATTTTATTCCCGAATTTCTCTATTCATCAACAACTGAAACAGGAACTCTAATAAAGATCTTTATTCAGACATTAAATAGATACCAAAAAAAAACAAAAAAACAAGCTTAAACAAGAAAAGGGGGAAATGTGGCCCAAAATACCCTTGTACGCTTGTGAATTTGGGGGTCAAATCACACCAACGTCTCATGTCCATTTTCCTGAAGAGGATTTTAGCTTCGGAAAAAAATAATGAGTCACCACAAAGCTTTAAAATAAAAAGGGATATATATATATATTTAACAAAACTAAAACATCCTCAAATGTGACGGAGGAACTAAATATAGCGAAGATTCAAACACACTACCTGGCAACCCCATGAAAGCGAAAAACAAAACCAATAAGACAGGTTTGTTTTGGGATAATATGAAACGCATTAAAAGTCCCAAGCTTAGTATGGTATTAATGGTAGGTGAAGCTTTGCTGAGATCCTCTCTTCCTCTAGAACATTGATCATGTCCAGTCCATGGCTACAGAAGCTGAATATAATGCATTGTGGTGTAAGTAAGAGAAGTAGCCCTGAGAAGGTGTATTCGCTACTTTTTTCCCGCCAACCCAAGATGGCAATACTTTAAAAAAACATCACAGAGAATGAAAACCTGAGATCAGACGCCTTTGTAAGGCAAGATGTTTATGGAGGATCAAATAAACATGAGCTGAACTGTTGCACACTGATTGGTTGTACCCGACCTGCCCCTGAAAGACTAGACAAAACAAAATGTGGGGAATAAAAAAAATAATAAATCCATAAAGCGTCTGACCGGGATCAGTTTGCTGCCCTTTTTGATGAGCTCAGATCTTCAAACACGAAACGTTTCTTTTTGCCTTGATTTAAAAAGCTATGAAACCAAACGGAAACTGGAAGTGGTGAGTTTTGGCTGTCAAGAGTCCTCCGTTCCGGAGTCGTCTTCATCATAGCAACAGTCCTCACCTTCCTCTTCATCGTCGTCTAAGTCCTCATCATCGTAGTAGTCATCGTAGAAAAAGTTAGAGCCCTCATCTGCTGGTGGAGCTCGGGTACGAACACAGTATTCAGCCAGTGTGGTGGGCACTTTTACGCCATCCCGTTCAGCATCAGCTTTGGTAGCTAAAACCTGCTTCCTGGAAACCAGAACCAAAGCAGATGAGTGCACATGCAAAGTACAACTCAAAGAAAGACTCTGAGTGAGTGTTTCTCTAACCTGATGATCTCTGCATACTCTCGGTCTTTCCCCTTGCTGTCCCTCCATTTACGGTACATGACGGAGGCATCCACATTGGCAGGCGAGAAAGTGTTGGGCTCATTCAGCAGCGAGATAACACTCAATAAGATCGTCCTGAATGAGAAGCAGATATCGGCTGATTAAACCGAACCAATTATGACACTTTGGCTTAATTATTGATCTCAAACTGCTGAACCTGGAAAGGGGATTGTTTGCACAACACCACTTCCTTACAAAAGGAAACTGTAAAACATGCCATTTCCCAGCAAGCAATTTTTGTTTTAGATGATATCGTACAGAAATCTAATAGATGTCCAAACATAGTCGTATTGGCTGAAACAAGACTGCATTTGGGCTGTCAGTGGAAATCCAATAGACTTCTAAGAATAGGCCAAAACTAGACTAGTCTTCAAATAAACAGAAATGAATGACTACACACAAAGTCTGTATAGTCCATCTATTTAACCACTGGTCTAGTTTTGGGCTATTCTAAGATGTCTATTAAATTTTCACTGACAGCAAGTTTAAGGCAAGCGGTCTACGTTTAGATGTCTATTAAACACAAAATTGTTTGCTGGGCTTAGTCAATTGCTTAAAAATATCTAGCCAGACAATCACATGGCAGCTATTGTAAGCATGTAGATGTAGTCGAGAAGACCTGGCAGGGGGGTGAGATTTAAGGGATTTTGAATGTGGCATGGTTGTTGGAGCAGATCAGAGTATTTCAAAAACTGATAGAGAAGGTATTTAGTAAACAGCAGTTCTTGGGGCAAATGTGCCTTGAGCTGTAGTCAACAGTAACTCAATCAGGATCGGTGAGTGTTTGCACAACGCAACTTCCTTACAGAAGGAAACCGTAAAACGGTTGCAAGCATTTTTTGTTTTAGATGATTTAAGAGGTGATTAAGGTATTTTGAATGTGGCATGGTTGTAGGAGCAGATCAGAGTATTTCAAAAACTGATTTCCAGTAACAACATGACCATGACCTTCTTTCAAAAAAAGAGAAGGTATTCAGTAAACAGCAGTTCTTGGTGCGAATGTGCCTTGTTGAGCTGTAGTCAACAGTAACTCAATCAGTCGTTATAAAAGTCGCCTGCAGAAGAATACCTCTGAGCCAAAAAGACATTGAAGCAGATGAACTAAAGCAGTAGAGGAGCACACCAGCGGCAATCCTTAAGCTCACACAAACTAGACAAAAGCTGACTGGATTAAAGGTGGCTGGCCTGATGAATCTCGATTTCTGCTGCAACATTCAGACAACATGAAAGTACTGATCCATTTTGCCTTGTATTAATGATTCAGGCTTAGTGTAATGGTATGAGGGAGACTTCTTGACATGCTTTAAGCCCTTTAATGTTAACAAAAATCCTTTAAAATCCACAGCCTGCCTGAATATTGTGATAAACTATGTCCATCCCTTCATAACGCACAGTACCCATCTTCTAACGGCTACTTCCAGCAGGATAACACACTGTGCCACAAAGCTGATCTCATCTTAAGCTGGTTTCTTGAACATCTTAGTGAATGAGTTCACCAATGTAAATCCAATGGCCTCCACAGTCACCATATACCCCAGAGATCGAGTACCACCAACACTGCATGTTTTTGATGCTTCCTTTGTCGGGCACACCAATTACAGGTCTTTCAGTTTCTGCTAATGAGCTGATGATCTGAATCTGGTGTGTTTGGTTAAGGAGACATGGAAAATGTGCACAGCTAGTGGTCTTACAGGAACATGGTTGAGAAACACTGCAATTGAGCACCTTTAGGATGTTATGAAATGAGAGCATTCTGATATGATGGCATTTACATATGGACCAGATCTAGGAGGAAACTTTCCAGAGGTCTCTTTTATCAAATCTGCACAGAAACCATTCTAAAAATGAAAAAAGTTAGCCCGAATAAATTAACTTGTTTATGAATATGGCTCACGAGTTGGTTCAATTAGGTAAATAGGTTTACTTAGAGCAGTAGTCTCAAACTCAATTCCTGGAGGGCCGCACCTCTGTATAGTTTAACTCCAGCCACCTGCAACTCATCCCTGCTTAATTGTCTCTAGTAGTCTTGAACCCCTTGATAAGTTGGATCAGCTGTGTTTGATTAGGGTTGGAGCAAATCTGAGTTTTAGACCAATGACTTGGTGTACTTACAGCTGCACACATTCTTCTAGAGAGTTCGTTTTTTATAGATCAAACCCTTTCTGTGGGAAGTGGCGTAGTGGTGTACACACGTTTCCACTGTCGTTTTGCGCATATGCCATGTTTATAAATGAGACCCCAGAGCCTAATTGAAACAATACCAAGAATCAAGGCAGTTCTCGTGGCAAACTAGGGTCCAATCTGAAACTAGCAAAGGTGTACCCAATAATTGCTGGTGAGTTTTTGCTCCTGTTAACAATTCGACATGTATTCTGATATCTATTCCCAATTTAAGACCTATAGCATATATGAGTTTTGTAAGATAAAAAAAAAAAGTTCCTGAAATTACAGCCATATGTTGTACCTGACGTTCTGTGTTGGGTTCCACCTCTCTGACGGCAGCTCTCCACTTTGAGGATCATCTACTGGTGGGTGCAGTATGGAAATACAGACATCGCCATTCTGAAATGTTAAATTAACATAATACATTAAGTTTTTGAAATTTACAAAAACGTATAGTTAAGAATATGAAATAGCATGAAGGCAGTCTGAATTTGTAAAATCCACAAAAAGTACAAAACAAATCTAACAAAAACATGATTGTAAGACTTTATAGGATAATTTTTGTAACGCATACAAAACCTCATACATCAATCTACGGAGACCTGAAAAGGACGTGATGGTGGGGGAAAAATGGATGGGAGGAAAAAAAAACTAAAACTGAGTGATAGGAAAATATAGGAGCAATTCCTGCGTTATGGATGTGACATTTGCAGTAAAAACTCAAAACATAAATTTGCATAGAAAGTAAATGTAAACAATATATTGAAACTTTTGTTTATATTTTCCAGAACAACTGACCACAGAGTTAAGAGACCACAACAATATTAATCTGTAAACATGTTTTGTACTTTAAATGTGGAAAATAAACATGCGTCATAGATGTGACAAAAAAAGTCTGCAGGTTTACAGTATACAACATACTTTGTAGTAATTTTGTGAATTAAATGGCACAAACCAAAATAAAATGATGACAATCAAAAAGATATAAGTTGGCTCTCTATAGAAGAAAAATCATTGGATTTATTTTATTTAATATTTTCACATTTGAGGAAAAAGTGTCATTATGGATGTGACATCTCTCCGTTATGGATGTGGCAGATGTGAAATAGCCACTTGTGTGAATTTGGTAAATCAAATAGAATAGTTTGAAACATTAACAGATGCATTTGAGTATTTCTAAAGTACTTTAAAATACTTGCATACACAAAAAAAAAAAAAAAAAAAAAAAAAAAAAAAAAACCAGAAACGGTTTCCGTATTTTGGTGAAAACTTCCAATTTTCTTCATGGTATGATTGACATTTGCACAGAATTGCTCATATATATCTTAAGTTTTTGCGTTCCCTCATGAAGAGGTTTTTTGTTCCTTTGCAAAACGGTTGTTAAACAAACACTTCCTTTTTACTTCATACAGGTCATCCTCCTGTTTTTGCTGGGATTGTCCTGTATTTTACCATTCCATCCCAATCATACTATAAATAAGTATTTTCCCATATTTTAAATCTTGAAAGCATGCTGAAATCAATATAAAAATGTCTGCATTCACTTTCTTTCCATTAAAGCTGTGCATCTATCATCGCTCTTTATATGCAACCTGAATCAGTGAATGCATGTACAGTACAAGCGCTGACTAGCGGACACACTCCGTATATAAAAAAAACTTATCCCAGATCAGCTTCAAATACACTTAATAATATGCAAACATGTCCATCCTGTGTGTTTTATTTTAAACAACAACTTCTCTTGAATAAGCACAGTTACTAAAGTAATCGAAGGCTTTCATTATAGATCTGTGCATTCTTAAAGTGACATCTGTTATCAAATAAAACACAACGAGAGATTCATTTGCTGCTCTTCTCTTGTTTGATAACAGAGGAGTCACTTTAAATGGTGTGTACAGAAGCTGATCTGGGATCAGTTTATCATATGGAGCGCGTCCGTCAGTCAGCACTTTCACATGCGTTCACTGATTCAGAGGTTGCATATGAAGGCGATCGAAAGTGAACGCAGACATTTCTATACTCATTTCAATGTAATTTCAAGATTCAAAATATGGGAGAAATATGGGAAAATACTTAATGATGGGATGATAGTGGGATAGAATGGCAATATACAGAAGAATCACAGCAAAAACAGGAGATTTGACACGTATGAAGTGAACAAGTGCTTGTGGAAAAACGTCTTTTGAGAGATAATGCAAAACATCTCTGCGAGATCATGTGAAGCATCTCAGAGATTTTGCAGAGATGCTTTGCTGAGATGCTTCTAATACTTTCTATTAAATGTGAAGCTGCTAATGAAATTGGCTAATTTGACTGTTATATTTGCTTTTGTATCAATTTTTTCTCAGTGAGATCATGCAAAGCATCTCAGCGAGGGAACAGGAAAACTTAAATATATATTTTCCTATCACTTCTATTGTTATTTTTCTCCTATCCACCCTTTTTTCCCCCACCATCCCGTCCCTTCCAATTCTCCGTATCGATCTAAACTCTGTTGAAATATTTATTGGATCTTGGTTTTAAATCTTTCAAACATTAATATATATACAGTACACTTTATGTATGTGTGTATCTGTCTTCATAGTGCATTAATGTAATGTAATAAACTCAGTCCCTTTTGTAAGAAGAAAAAAAAGAAGAGAAAAAAAAATGTCCTGATACAAAAGCAATTATAACAGTTAAATTAGAAAATTTCATTAGCAGCTTCACATTTAATAGAAAATATTAAAAGGTGAGACTTTTAAAGAAGATATATTTAATTGGCTATTTATTAAATGAACTGAACTGCCAAAACAATTAATTATTTCATGCACAACACTGTTCTGGCAGCCGTTTGTGTGGTCATACCTCATAGATGTTGGGATGCCACATCTTGGTGAGGAATCTGAAGGCAGGAGGCGAGTATGGATAGTCAATAGGGAATTTGATGCGTGCCTGAAAGAAATAATAGATTCATTAGGGAATAAACATCATCTTCTAGCAATACACAAGTATAGAGGCCATTGCAAAACCAAAACCCAAGACCTCACTTACAGTAACATTCTGAAATACACCTCCATGACACATGGGATATTGTATTCTTTGGCTGAATGCTACAAACTGTTTGCTGCTGGAACTCACGCACCAACAGACCACACACACACACACACACACGCGCACGCACGCACGCACGCACGCACGCACTGAAAATGCTGTTCATTTTAGAATATCTGATTTAGCTGAAAGCCTGTTACAAGTTAAGCTTCCATCTGCATATCAAATCATTTATAGCACAGGCTGATAATCCGCCTTTGGGCAGAAGACTCCAAGCGTTGTGCTGTAGAAACACTCATCTTCAAGCACATGTAGAAATGCTTTCAGTCAATAGTGTGAGCTCTACTGTAAGCTTCACGTGGGAGCTGATAACCAAATGCCAAGATGAGTATGCAGGTTGTATGTGGGATTTACTATTATTAGTACCCATTTCAAAAATATTTTTTTCTATAACCCAAAATTGCCATTCAAAATCCGTGTGGCCACATAATAATTTCCTAAAATATTCCAAAAACAATTATCTGAATATGCCAAGGATATTTGGGGATATAATACGTTACTAGAGTGTTGCTAAGGCGTTCTGTGCACTCATGTTGATTGCAATAGTTTGCAAAGTCTATTGTGATGCCTAGACTTTTTTTTAAATCAACAAAATCCTCAATCATGTAATCATAATACAGTTCTATACATAACATATCTAAATGATAACATAATACAGTTACAGTAAACGTGCATTCAATTTTTACATTACAGCTGAAATTGATTACATTATTTGTATCCATTACAATTTCTAAATATTCTTTGTAATTACAATAATAATCATCTCCCAATTTAGCGTACATTACTATTATTTTAAAATATTCTTGTTGACAATGACATGAGACATACAACAAATTATATTAAAAGCATTCTTTGTTTTAAATGGATGTTTTCTTATTCCATTATTAGCATTTGTATTACAATTATTAAATTTGTTGATGTTGTTGATGACAATAATAATAATAATAATAATCATCTTACAATTTAAATTAATTTTATTAACAACAACAACAATGTTGTTTTACTGCAATTGGATATTAAATTATTTATTTTGGGGTGTGTTTCCAAAAACCATCGTTAGCCAACTAAGGTCGCACGTTCCATTGATTTGACGTTTCCCAAATCCATCGTTCCAGCCAACATTCGCAAACTACGCTGTAAATTTGTACACTTGCAACTTCACCTCTAGAGCTGTAGTTAGAAGCAGAGTTCCTGGCTGTGTTCTATTTCAAGTTATCCCCCTATGCCCTATTCATTTAGAATGTTCCAACATTTAAACTTGGAATGGCTAAAAAAAAAAAATAATAATAAATAAAAAACATTAAATTAATCTCTCTTAGGTGTAATCTGCCTTTAAAGTATTTTTACAGTTCAGTTTTAGCGATCTTCGTGTTGACAATTGCATTGCCTCCGTAGTGCACTTTAAAAACAATTATGCCATTTTGAAAACAGCCGTGGCTCATGAGTCATGACTAAAGCAAGGTGACCTATTATTTAAATGCAGAATTTACATTTCCAAAGCTTGTGAAATCAAAAATATATAGCATACGTTATTTATTAGCATGGTTATTTATTAAGTATCTGTACTGTATATGACATGGGCCTGTTGGTTAAAAAAATTCTGCAGTGGTTTGCATGTGTCAAATTGTAAGTAGACTTAAAAAAACAACATAAACAATATTCTACCTAATAATAATAATAATAATAATAATTCATCATCATTATTAAAGTAGGATTTTTCTAGTTTCCTAATAAATAATAAATATTCAATTTCATTTCTTAATAAGCAGCCTCATTATTTATTTATTTTTTTATATGAGATTAGAATATGCTTTAGCTTTTCGTACGTGATAGTAGTTTTTAGAATAGAATATGTAATGTTGTCAATGGTGTTTGTAAAGAAAACATTGACCCTATAGGTGCCGTTTACAAATATTTCAACTAATATGGAAAACAAGTGCATGTTTACCAAAACTAATAATAGATTTTTTTTAATGCGTGTGCGTGTCAGGATATAATTTGCACAAAAATTTATGGGGTTTCCCTAAAGAAACTGTTACTCTACCCCGTTTAGAGCATCATTATGGACGCTTTATAACAAATGTGGTTCAAATGCAGGATCTGCGACAGAGAAACTACTGTTTTGGGAAACACTCCTCATGACATTGTTCTTTTCCCAAACGATGCATTGCACTAGAATAGTTCATCCGCAAGTTATGACATTGTTTGTGAAACGCACCCGATACAGTAATTTTTACATTTAAATGTACTATTAATGTATAGTTATTACTAATAAAATGGTTACATTTGTATTCTTACATTGTTTTTATTTAGCAACAGCACCAGTTATTGGATCATAATCATGAAAACCTTGGTAGTCGGCAACACCATATTTAAAGATTCTATCATTCTAAAGCCAAACAATTGCACACAGGCTCCGTAACATGCAAATCCATGTATAAACACCCCCCTTCACACACATCTATGCAAATCCTCCACAATCTGTAGCGAGCCGAGCTTGGTGCCTTTCACTACAGTGGGTGGTGGGCACACATACACATGACCACTCCACAACCCCCCACAGCACACTACATTTGCTGATTTGGCACGGTCAGCTGGTGTGTGCTTAAAAGACCCAGCTCTCCCTCTCTCTCACGCAAACACACAGAGATAGAGATAGAGAGAGATAGAGAGAGATAGATAGAGATAGATAGATAGAGATAGAGAGAGAGAGAGAGTGTGTGTGTGTGTGTGTGTGTGTGTGTGTGTGTGTGTGTGTGTGTGTAACACCTGTATGTATCAAGTGATACTCGATTCCTGAAACCCAAGCAGCACCGGGCAACTTTCAAGTGAGCAAGCCTATTAAACCTCAAGTAGGGATCCATGTAAGAAGGTAACAGTATTAGGTTTCTCCAGAGGCAGCTTACAGGACTCGCACATGACCCGACACAGCAGAGCTCCTGTGACAGCCTTTGGGCCAGGCGTCTCTCTCTTTAGCTACATTGCCCAACAACTAGATGAGAGAACTCAAACTAAAAGACCCCATGAAATGAAAGTACTTTTACTTTCAACATTTATCCAACAGGTTATCTCAAATGCGCCCAGAAATCTGATGTACCCTGCTGCCTAGATGCTAAAATTGCAAAGGACAAACCATTGACAGTTTAAAGAGGTTTTCTTCTGGGGTGAAAGAAGTCTGTTCTCTTTTTGAAAATTTTTGAAAACATCAATGGTGTAAAGCAGGGGTGGCCAACCCTGTTCCTGGAGAGCCACCTTCCTGCAGATTTCAGTTGCTACCCATATCAAACACACCTGAACCAATTAATTAGGACCTGAACACCACGTGATAATTACAGGCAGGTGTGTTTGATATGGGTTGCAACTGAAATCTGCAGGAAGGTGGCTCTCCAGGAACAGGGTTGGCCACCCTTGGTGTTAAGTAACAAATTACTAATACCCAAACCACTGTAATGAAATAGTTTTTCCTCAGGAATAGTAATTTACCAAGTAGTTTTGAAAATGTGTACTTTTACTTTCCCTTGAGTACATTTTTAGTGCTGTATTGGTACTTTTACTCCACTACTTTCCTTCAACCTGCAGTTACTACTTTGTTTTTTTGTTGTCTATGGGGGTTAGAAAAATCAGTCCTGTGATTCCTGTCCAATCCAACCGCACATAGAAGAAAAATCACATCATAATGGACTACCTCAAGACATTTAGATTTAGAATTGCAGCAAGCAAACTGTTTGGAAGCATTAAAAGAAGAGGTCCAAAATAGTCACACGCATTGACCCAGAGACTGTTTAGATGCATGATATTGATGACAAGATGACTGACGTTTACTGTCTGATGACCGAAATGGCCTTAAACACCCAGCAGGCAGAAGACATCAACATGACGTCAAATTGATGTAGTACTCCAGCAACGTGGGGACATTGCATTTTGTTTGAAAAATAAAAATCAGGTTGACTTCAGAACCCAGTGTCTGCCCGACGTCAGTGTCCAACGGTCAACCTAAAAATCAACCAAATATCAATGTCTAATATTGTTACAGCTTGACATTGTGTGGACGACGTTACCACTATGACATCTATCAGATGTTGGATCTTGGTTGCCATACCTGACGAATAAATGTCAGTATTTGACATCAATGTGATGTTGGTTTAACTGGCTAAAAGTTGCCGTAAGACTCTTAGTACCATAGAGTTCCATATTTTTAAGCATTTGAAAATGTGTAAAGATGGGGCCGAGACAATACATCGATCCATTATGAATTGAGAAATGATTCTTTTTCTGTTGTGCGTGTCATCTGTATATGCTATGCTGAGACAATAAATCCATATTTTGTGATTCATGGAATGATTCTTAGGTTTTTGGGATCCATCACGATTCTCTCTTGAATCAATTCGGAGTTTAGTTTTTACCACCAGATGGCTCTATAAACACCCACACTGCCAATCCTTAAACATGCCACTTAAACGTTAGTGGTGAAACCTACACTGGTCTCACAGTTCGATATCTCAGTGCATCAGGGTGCATTGACAATACTTTCCATAAACAATTTTATATTTTACTTAGCAGCATAATAATTATTGTATTAAAATCTATAATTTATTAATGTATTTATACAGTATATCCTTTACACTCAATTTTGTCATTTGATACAAGCAGACATATATGTACTGTACATTTAATTATACCTGCTCAAAAAAAAAAAAACACACTTTTTAAATGTATCAAACAAAACTCAAGTACATGCACAGAATAACATGAGCATTTATAGCAAATAAACAAACGCAAATATTATCCCCCTGCTTTTTTAGCATTGTTGAGCGAGTTCCTAAACGCCTATGATTGCTCAT